TGCAGTTCGTCTCTTGAATTCCTGGCTGCTGCTACCAAGAGTGTTGATTGTGGAGCCAAGCAAAATAAACTGTTAACTATCTCAATCTCTTCACCATCCAAGCTTATGCTGCCAATTGGCCCAGTAGTGAGAATCTTTGTTTTCTTGATGTTGAGCTTCAATCCATGTAGGAGGCTGCAGTCCTTGACCTTCTGAAGCAAGCGCTTCAGGTCCTCCTCACTTTCAGCAAGCAGGGTTGTGTCATCTGCATAACGCAGGTTGTTGATGACTCTTCCACCAATCCTGATGCCACATACCTCTTCATACAGCCCAGCATTTCAGATGATCTGTTCTGCATACAGATTGAAAAGGTATGGAGACAGAGTACATCCCTGATGGACCCTCTTCTTTATTTTGAACCATGTAGTGTCTCCTTGCTCTGTTCTGACGACTGCCTCTTGGTCCAAGTATAGGTTTTGCATTAGCACAATCAAATGTTCTGGGATTCCCATTCTTCTTAGAGTCAGCCACAGCTTGTTGTGATCCACACAGTCAAAAGCCTTTGCATAGTCAATAAAGCACAGATAGACCTTCTTCTGGTATTCTTTGCTTTCCATCTAACATTAGCTATAATATCCCTAGTACCATGACCTCTTCTAAATCCAGCCTGTACATCTGGCAGTCCTCTGTTGACATATTATTCCAAATATTTTTGGATAATTTTCAGCAGAATCTTGCTTGCATGTGATAAAGTAGTAGAAAATTTAAAAAATAATTCTATTTCTTAAAATTTCTTTAAAGGTAAAAAAATTAGTAGATAGATAATATGAATGATAAGAGAGAGTAAAACTCATGACAGTGGAACAAGAACAACAGAAGTTTGGGAATAGACAAGCCATCAGATAGGAGATCTTGTCCTCCTGGAAATCTAACCCACCCCCTCCTCAAGGGATGGAGTGGGAGAGGACAGTTCACTCTCGGAGCAGTAGGTCCTCTTTGATTCTACTTTAATTCAGCAATAAAACATAAATGCCTTTTCCAAGCAAATATATGCACACCCATGATTATCACAGCTTTGTTCACAATAGCAAAGAATTGGAAACAACCTAAGTGTCTATCAAAACTGGATAGAGAAGCTGTGGTATATTCACACAATGGACTATTATGACACACTGAAATACAAGAAACTCATGAAATATTGAAAATGGGTGACCCTGGAGGGCATTATGTTGAGTGAACTATCTCAGTCACAAAAGAACAAATACTGCATAGTACCATTGTTGTAAAACAGGACTGACATTGGGGTTGGGGGGACACTGAGAAAGATGGGATAAATAATGGATACTGCATTGAAACAGATGAGGAAGAGACCTGTTTAAAAATGATATGTGATTAGGTATTATTGTCATGACAGTAATCCAAAACAAAAGCTGCTTAGCGGAGTGGAGCTAGGGGAAGGGATTGTAAAATAATAAAAGAATTTTTCTGTTACTTTTCAAAGAGAAGTGAACTGGGGGGTGGAGGTGTGAGCAGAGAAAAAAGTGCAACAATGAATGAATGGAAGTCCAAAGTCTCTGTAAATTTTCATTAAAATTAATAATAAAAAATTGAGAAAATAAAATCCTCAACACTGTTTCTCTAGCATTCTTAAATGTTCTTACCGTCACATTTTTCCCACAGTGCACATGAACCACAATCTTTCCTGGCTGTGGGTCTCAGAGTGCAGCTCTCCCTGCCGACAAGGGTGTAATTTCTACCATGACAGGCAAGAACATGCATCTTGCAGACTGTCAGAGGCAGGGGTCTCTTGCTTCTCTCGTCCTGAGCACATACATCCAGAGAAGATCTGAAACAATATTTTTAAACCATATTACAGGTATACTTACAATGGAGCTCTGTTCTGATAACTCTGTCATAAACAATTATGCTATTGGTCAAATATTTCATGTATGGTTTAGGTTTCATTAGTATTGTGTTTTGTTAACAGTATCTTCATTAATCCACCATTTATTTCAATATGGAATTTGGAAATATTACATTAACACCAGCACATTATGTGTCGCACGCAGTACATATCATGATGTAGATATCATTGATGATAAGATGCACAAAAAATAAAAAGAATGATGCTTGGTGTCATATGCGAGGTTCATTATAACTTGGTCACATCATAGATTGAGGACTTTATATTTGCAAGATCTCTATCCTTAAAAGCAGAGGATGAGAAGTGAATAGGAGGGGTTGGATTCAAGGATTCTAATTTTAGCACCAACAGCAAAGACAGAAGGAAAATTTTAATTATATTTCTTTCTAGACCCATTCCCCGGAAATCTTCAAAATGAGCATACTTACTTTTAACAAGCTTAGACAACTTGTTTTCATCAAGTACAGATCACAAACAGAAAATAAATAGAAAGAAAGGTCAATCTGCAAAAGCGAGTGACCTGACAACCAAGGAGACAGAAAATCAGCAAAGACCAAACACTCAAAGTTATCACAGTTAAAAGCATGAGGAAATCCATTGCATCGAGCAGCCTCGGGGCCTATATCTGTATGTAGCCCAGTCTTGTCCAACAAGTGACTATAAATCATTAAGCACTGATGAAACTGTATTTTCCAATGTGATTTACGAAAATATGTATATTTACAAAAGAGTTTACCAGTATTTCCAAATAATGTTCCTGTTTTTCCTTAAACATCAAGGATAAAACTATAAGCTATTTAGACATGTCACTAATAAAAGAATCATATTTTTGTGAATGCTGTTAGGTACAAAGGCAGAACTGTAGAGAAATCATAAATAATAAAGCACTTTTATATCTTCGAGGATAGGAACAGTCCACTTGCCCGTATTGTATTGAACTCTAATCTTTTCTTCTTCTTAAGGATCCCTGGTGGCATCATGGTTAAGAGCATACACGAAAAGTCAATCATTCTAACCTATCAGTTTCTCATCAGGACAGAACACCTGGCAATCAGATTCTTTAAAAGTAGTTGTTGTTAGGTGTCATCAAATTGGTTCTGACTCGTAGCAATCTAGAGTCACCACCTGGCTTCCTGTGCCATCGTCACAATACACTGGTGCCCGTTGCTGCAGCTTCTGTGTTAACCCAGCACATTGAGGGCCTACTTTCTCAACAACTCTCTCTCAAGCACAATGTCCTTCTCACTCTGGTTCATTCTTTCTTGTTTAAATAATTTCTTATTTTATACTGGTTTAACATACAAAGTTTGTATGCATTGCTTTTCACACCAGATCTTGCCCATTTCCTTTTGCCACCCCTCTTTCCACCCATCAAGTCGTGCTATTCTATGATTACCCTTGGAAGCAGGAATGGCATCCAGTTCCTAAACAATATGCCTCTGGAAACTATGAACTTTGTTAAAACCCTTTGTTCATAGGGTCGCTATGAGTCACTCCACTCTAAGGCAATCAACAACAACAATATGATTACCCTCCCCATCCACTTCCACCTACCCACTCATCCTCACCCCTCTACTCCCCTCCTCCCCTCCTTGGATCTTCACAGACATCTTACTCGTCTTATTTCTATGTCTACAATAATAGTCTTGTACTGTATTTGTCCTTATGGGGCTGAGTTAGGGGACTGGTTTACTCTTACAGCACATCCAAAATATATGAAATGAAGTCTGTCTCCTCTCCTTCTAAGGAGCATTCTGGCTGCACTTCTTCCAAGATGGACTTGTCTATATTTTTTTTTCTTACAGTCAATAATATATTTAACACTCTATCAACACCACAATTCAAAGATATCAATTTTTCTTCAATTTCCCTTGTTCATTGTTCAGCTTTCCTATGCACAGAAAGCTATTAAAATACTATAGCTAAGGTCTGGTATACCATAGCCCTCAAAGTAGCATGTTTACTATTTAGCATTTAAAAGAGATTCCTCCATAAGATCCCGCTATTCCATTACAAGGCATATACTGCAAAGAAATTAGAACTTAGACACAAATGGAGATTTAGACATCAATGTTCATTTGTAACAGCATTATTCACCATCACAAGAAATGGAAAGAGCCCAAATGCCCAACCACAACTGAATGGATTGAGAAACTGGTACGTTCACACAATGGAGTATTATGCAGCACTCAGAAACAACAATTTTGAAAAATACTACATAACTTGGGAGAGACTGGGGAACATTATGTTGAGTGAACTAACTCAACCTCATAAGGACATATACTGCATAAAACCATTATTGTAAAAAATAGAAGGATATCTAGTAAAACATGTATGGTGCTCCAAGAAGGGAAGGAGTGGGAGGGGTGAAGATGGGTAGGGACAAAACAGGGTTACACAGGTTGGTGGGTGGGGGTGGGGGGAAGGAAATCTGGGTGAAAAGACAGGCAAGGTCCAGTGGTGATCAGTTTTATAAAATGTAATACATTAGACCAGTCCTTGGAGAAGGACATCATGCTCAGAAGGGTGGACAGACAGGGCAGGTGAGGATGACTCCAGATGAGATGGATTGATACAGAATGTAGAGAAATGGGGTTTGATGTATCGGAATTTGTGAGACTAGCTCAGGACAGGGAAGGGTTCAGAGCTGCTGTACACAGGGCCGCTATACAACGCAGGTGACTCAACGGCATATAACAACAATAACATTCTACACTGTTTATTTATTATTTAAGCCTCTCCTATTTAGAGTCAACAAGACCCCGGAGAGGGCCTTTGTATTTAAAGTTGTTTGTTATTATATTTTGGAGGAACATTTTTCTAAGTAGTACAGCACTTTTCTGTCAATATACTATACTGACATAACCTGTGGTTGCTGTGATGCTGAACTTTGTGCCATTGCGGAATCAAATGCCATAACAGTTACCCATGGGGAACAGCGATTGGTGGAGCTCCCAGGAAGCAGGAGTGGCATCCACTTCCTAAACAACATGCCTCTGGAAAATCTATGAACTTTGATAAATATCGATAGTTATAGAAAGACTTCAGGCCTTTTGTTCATAGGGTTGCTGTGAGGCATGCTCGACTCAAAGGCAATCAACAACAACAGCAATACAGAGGATGATTGTATGAAACACAATATGAATGAAGAGTAGTGTGAAACACAATGTATATGAACTTTGTAAGCAAATCAATAAAAAAAAGTCAAGAGATCCCTTGTAATATTTGCCCAGTGCAAGTCACCACTTGATTTACTGACCACTCTTTCCATAGTCAGTGTTTGTGAATTCAAATGCAATTAAATCCTTGACAATTCTAATGTTTTCTTCACTTATCATAATGCTGCTTATTTGTTCTGTTGTGACAATTTTTGTTTTCTTTTCTTGGTGTTGAAGCATAATCCAAGCTGAAGATTGTAGTCTTTCATCTTCATCATTAAGTACAACATTCAAATCTTCTTCCCTTTCAGCAAACAAGGCTGGTGTCATTAACAAACCACAGATTATTAATAAGTCTCTTCCTCCAATTCTAATGCTGCATTCTTCTGCATATTGTTTTTCTCACATACAAGTTGATTAGACATGTAGAAAGGATACAATTCTGGCACACGCCTTTCCTGATTTTAAACCACACAATATCTCTTTTTTCTGTTCAAATGATGTCTCTTGTCTATGTACAGATTCTACAAGAGCCCAATTAAATGTTCTGGAATTTCCATTCTTTGCAATGTTGTTGATAACGTGTATGATCCATATACTCGTATGTGTTTCTATTATTAATAAGAATAAGTAAGCATCATTCTGGTAGTTTGTGCTTTCAGTCAAGTTCCATCTGATATCAGCAATGATATCTCTCACTCTACATCCTCTTTCAAATCCAGTTTGAATTTCTGGCAGTTCTCTGGTAATGGAGTGCTGCAGTAATTTTTTAATTACCTCCAACAAAATTTTGCTAGCATCTATTAAAAATGAGATTGCTTGATAATTTCTGCTTTATGTTGGATCATCTCTCCTTGGAATGGAGAGGAGCATGGATCTCTTCCAGTCAGTTGGCCAGGTAACTGTCTTCCACATTTCTTGGCATAGATGAATGAGAGGGTTTTAGCAACATACTCATTTAGTGAAACATCAGCTTGGGTAATGCTCATCTCATGCAAATTTAAAGACTAAACCTCACATAGCAGAAAAAATGTATACTCTTTATCAGTATTGCTGTAAGAGGTTATGTCCCAAGGAATTTCAGTCTATATCCTTTAAAATTCTAAATCTTTAAAAATGACACTTTTGTCATTTTAATCAATTTTATATAGGGAGCAAGCCATGGTAAGAACCCCTCATCCTTATACTCTAGCAATATTGTTGTTGTTGTTGTGTACTGTTGACTCAGACTTGCCTCTTAGCTGACCCTCCAACAGGTTTTTAGAGGCTGTTAGTCTCCCAGGAGGAGATTGCCCATCTTTCTACCAAGTAGTTGCTGGTAGATTTGAACCACATGCCTTGGGATTGGCACTACAACTCTTTACCACTAAGCCACCAGAGCTGCAATCTAAAAACATTAGAGCATTGCTTACAAACCATCGCCAGCCCTGATGAAAAGGGTTATAACATTCAACAGGTGATATAGCTTAAAATGTACAGACACTTAACTCCGCCAGTGACAAGCAAAGCCTTCCATCTAGGCATGATGTTGGTAAGAGTAAACTTTTATTCTTAGCAAGCCTACAGAGTGTGACTGACAATAGGGTTTTCTTGCCTGTAATCTTTATGCAAGCAAATCACTGGGTCTTCCTCCTGCAGATTCACTGGGAAGACTCGAACTGACCATTTTTGGGTTGCAGATGAGCATTTCACTGTTTGTGCCGCCAAGATCCCTTCTTCTAAAGGAGCCTCAACTCACTCATTTCTGGCAAGTTGAAACCAACTTAGAACTGATCCTCCATTGGGATCCCAGGGCTATAAACCACACAGGAAGAGCTTGTCCACCCTCCTCCCTCAGAGCTGCTGGTGGACTCGAGCTGCCAGAAAGGTAGCAGCACAATTACCCACAGACTATGCCACCAGAGTGCTCTAAAGACAACAGCTGACTCTATTATGTTTTTATTTCAGTCACCTCCTGATAAATAAAACATTTGAAGAAGGAAACCTACCTGAAATGTTTTTTTTAAAAAAAAGACATTAGTATCTAAGACAGTATTGCATTTACTTAAATGAAATAAAGCTGGTAGAAGAAAACGGGCATATCTTACCCACATTCATAAGGCATTTTACAGACACATCTTGAATTCTGCACTTTCTCCCAGAGCTGACATTTAGGCACTGGCTGTTTCTCAGGCACTTCTAAAACAAAAGGATAAGGGCCAGACCATGGTTAGGAAAGTAAGAGCATCATTGTGATACAGTAAATATTATGACAGCTTGCATAGCAACATGTGTATTTTATTGTAAACAAAGAATGCAACAAGAATGTAACAAAGGCAACAAGAGATGCAGAGTTCCTAGAAGCAACTTGCCAATAATTTCTCTGTTAATAATAGCTAACAGACTTTGTTCTTTGCCAGACACTTTTTATGCATTGTGATGTTTAACTTGCCCTGGCATGTGTCCCTTTAAGAGATGAGGAACACGAAGTTTAAAAATATTAGGGAGTTAGTACTAGTTTAGACAATTAATAGTTGGTGGCTAAGTTCACATTCATTAAATTTCAAGGTCAGTGGAACAGGTTCCCTTTAACTAAAGCACTATTTAGAAACTCTTGGTTGGTTCGGCTGCATCCTTCTCCCACCGTGCCTATCACAAGACAGAAAGCAACACAATTTAACCTAACCTAAAAGCTTCCTGATAGTTCGAGGATACATGAAAATGGTCAAAAAGTACCCCCTTTACAGTGAGTGGATGTGTCCATGGTTCTGTTTCTAAAATTCCTTCCATTACGTCTCCATTTTTTAACAAAAATAAACTGATAAAACCAACTATCACTCACTTTTGATGGTAAAATATTCTGATTAAGATCATAAGAGTATCATGTAGCTGTCATTGCTTCAGCCATCCCTAATAATAGTGTGAATAACTTGAACATAGACATTTTGCTAAGTCTAACCCTGCCAGTTTCATCATCAAACTAGGTCTCTGTGGGATGTATCTACATAGACATTTTCTCTGAAGGACATGTATTTTTATGGATATAAAACTACAAACTACTTCTTTACTTTGAAAATTCTCAGTGTCCTTCACAGCAACACTACAATCTTATTAATAAATTTTAAACTTCTAAGAACTAATGTCATTTGAAGTGTTTTTGCCATAACTGTTTCCATTACATGTATTCATTCTTTAAATATTTCCCTTAAACTTATACTATCTTGAACAGAGTGTGATCCACATTAAAAGAGGATAAGTGGAAAAACTGTTGTTGTTGTTGTTGCTGCTGCTGCTGCTGCTGTTGTTGTTGTTGTTGTTGTTGTTAACATCAAGAAAACAAAGATTCTCACCACTGGACCAATTGGGAACATCATGATAGATGATGAAGAGATTGAGATTGTTGACAGCTTCAGTTTCCTTGGCTCTACAATCAACACTCTTGGTACCAGCAGCGAGGAAATTAAGAGATAAATTCTGTTGGGAGAGTCTGCTGTCAGAGACCTTTCCAAAGTAATGAAGAGCAACAATATCACTCTGGAGACTAAGGTGTGCCTGATACAAGCCATGGTCTTTGCAATTACTTGCCAAACATCAAAAAGCTGGACAATGACTAGGGATGAATTGATGCCTTTGAGCTATGGTGTTGGAGAAGAGTATTGAATATACCATGGACTGCTAGAACAAACAAGTTTGTCCTGGAGAGGGTGAAGCCAGGCTGCTCCTTGGAGGCAAGGATTCTGAAGCTTCGTCTGACATATTTTAGACATGTTGCAAGGCATGATCAATACTTGGAGAGTGATGACATGCTTGGGATGGTGGAGGAACAGCTCAAGAGAGGAAGACCCTCCATGAGGTGGATTGATTCAATGACTGGAGTGATGGAGATAGGTGTACCAGAGACAATAAGATTAGCACGGGATAGAGTAGGGTTGAGGGCTGTTATGCATAGGGTTTCTGTGAGTCACGGGCAACTCAATGGCACATAACAGCATCAACAGCAACCGTACAGTAAAATGCAACTCATAGCAGACTTGAACTCTATTCTGTCCTATTCTGTGTTATCTCATCATCTTTGACATAGCTGGCCCACTGATGTAGTCACTGGGAGAATCCATCTAGTTGAGGGTCTTCCTTTCTTTTGCTGAATTTTCCTAGCATAATATCCCTTTTCAAGGAATATTCTCTTTTAATAATGTGTCCAAAAAATGTGAAATAACCCTCCACCACCCTTGCCTCTGAGGAGCATCTTGGCTACACCTTCTCTAAGACATATCTGTGTGTCTTTTGGCAGCCCAATGGGATATTCAGTACTCTTCTCCATCAGTTTTTCTTCTGTCATCCTTATTCATTCATCCAGCTCTCAGACACATAGCAAGTAATTGAAAAGACCATGGCCTGAATCAGGCACACCTTAGTCTTCAAATTGACATTATTGCTCCTGAGTACTTTGGAGAGGTCTCTCACAGCAGACTTTCCCAAGGTAATACATCTTTTGATTCTTGGCTACTAAAGCCAAGAATGTTGATTGTGGAACCAAGTAAGTGGGAAAACTAGTGATATCCAAATTAAGTTCACAGTTTAATCAATAATATTGTGCCATTATTCCTTATTTCAATCAATTATGTTATGCCAAGTTACAAAAGATGTATAATTGAATAAGAGGTATATGTAAACTATATTTATAACTTTTATTTAAGTCTAAAACTATTTTAATAGTTTTATTTAAATCAGTGATTCTCAACCACAGATAATTCTGTCCTTCAGAAGACATTTGTCACTATCAGGAGACACTTTGGTTGTTACAACTTGGAGATGTAGGGAAAACTACTGACATATAGTTGGTGGGGGATTAAAGATGGTGTTAAACATCCTCCAATGTACAGAACCACAAAGAATTTTGCAGCTGAAAATATCAACATGCAGAGATTAAGAAACTGATCTAAGCAACCAGAACTAAAATTCAGTGATAAACCAATGCAAATGACATCTGCATTCTGAGTAGAAAGTTGTTTGCTAATCTCTCATAAAGATAAAGTTTTACACTTTACTGTTTTTATTTCTTTGTGAAAATCATTGATAGAATTACCTAAACCAAAGACTTCTACATCTTAAAACAAAAAACAAACAAAAAACCCAAGCATAAAGCTTCATTGCCTTTATAGATTGGTTAGCTCAATATGGATGAACTTAAAGCCCACCTTTAAACCAAATACTTTCTATCAAGACTAAATACCAAAAGCAGATTATTTGAAAACATCAGTTTTGGAGGCTGAAAAATTTGGTACTTCTCTTTGTTATCAATTTATCATTAGGGAAGTTATTATTATAATCTCTGTGTTCAGAAAAATCTCACAGCTTTGAAAGACATCCTTAATTAAAACCCACCTCAGTAGAATTTCTACTGAGTGGGAGAAAAAAACACGCCAAATTGTACTACAAACTGAACGGAACAGATATTTCCGAAAAGTAAGCAAGCAATTCCATCAACTAACTGTTCATTGGAACAAAAGTTCAACTTCATCAAGTGTATATTGTTCTGCCTAATTTTAGAGTTATTGGTACCTATCTATTATTTCAAATAATCACAGTAAACTTGCATTTATTCTTCAGAGTATGTAGAAAACAAAGCAATTATCCCCCATTGGTCATCTTTGACAGCTAAGACACGCAGCAGGGTGGACATGAAAGGCTTGTGTCCACCATGTTCCTGCTCTGCTCTATCACCTGGTACCAGAGCCACCAGCAGTAGCTGGCTGCACCCTCTCATTCACTGAAAATGTTCAATTCACCAGATGGTATCATTTAGGAAATCTAGCTCTTCCTCCTCATGATCAAAAGATAAATTTCATCATTGAATAAAAATTAATATTAGAAAAAATCAGAACAGGATGTGCTGCATAAGAGCAGTGGCATTGTCCAAGGACTCACTGCTCCTGATAATATGACCGAAGGAAGTGAGAGGACGTTTGGCCATCCTTGCTTCTGAACAACACTCTGACTGTACTTCCTTCAAGACAAATTTCTTTGTTTTGGTGGCAATCCACGGGATATTCAATCCTCTTTGCCAGCATCACAATTCAAACTCTTCTTCTGTCATCCTTATTGATCTTTCAGATGCATAGGAAGTAATTTAAAAGACTTCAGCTTGAAACAGGTGCACCTTAGTCTTTAAACTGACATCCTTGCTCTTTAGAATTTTGGCGAGATCTTTAATAGATGATGTCTCTAATGTAATACATCTTTTGATTCATGACTACTGTTACCATGAGTGTTGATGGTGGATCCAAGTAAAATGAAATCAATGGCAACTTCAATCTTTTCTCCATTTCTCACATTGCCCATTTTTTTCTTTTCTTTTTTTTTCTTTTGAGACAGAGAGGCAAGGAAAATATTATCTAAAAGAGAATAAAACTGGCAATTGTGGAATAAGCAGCCTCCTGATCATGCTACATAATATGCCTTCCTCAAGGTATATATTCTTTCTGTTTGGTGTGAGTCACATTGCCTTATGCTGCAATGGTAAGGATTTTTATTTTCTGAATATGTAATTCCTATTGAAGGCTGTCATCTTTGATCTTCTGCAGTAAGTACAGTTTGCTATACTGTGGTACCTTGTGTGTTGCTATGATGCTGGAAGCGCTGCCACCCGTATTTCAAATATTAGCAGGGTCACCCATAGTAGACAGGTTACAATGAAGCATCCAGACTAAGACAGATTAAGAAGCAGAACTGGCCATCCATTTCTGAAATAACAGAAAACTCTGTGGGCAATGGAAGAACATTATTGGATTTAGTGTTAAACGATGAAGCACACAGGTTGGAAGACACTCGAAATTTGTGTGGGCAAGAGTTACCTCCTCAAAGAGTCCGTCACAATGACGTGGATGGAGTAAAGCTTTCACCCGATGAAAGACTTTCATTTACGTGGCAAGCCTCAGAAAGAGGTGCCATAGCTGCAGACATCCATTAATAATTAGAACATGGAATTATGACGGATCAATAGTCAATCACAAATCACTTGCACCACTCAGACTCCCAGTGAGATGAGTTAACACAATGACCTCAGCAATGGACTCTCATGTGTCAGAGATGATGGGGAGGGCACAGAATAGAGCAGGGTTCAGGTTGGCCGTTCATAGCGTCACTATGAGTCATACTTGACTCAACAGCACCTAACAACAGCAATAGACAGCAATGTTCCAATACTGATTCCGCTTTGCTCGCTTACTAACCTCAGTATTCTTGGTTCAGTTGTTACTGATCTCCAGTGTGGAATTGGTAATGAATGTATCACATTAACACAAGACGTAATAACATGAAAAATGGGCAGAGTGGAGCAAAGTAAGTACATAGCAACTCTCTGCATAGTTTTTCTGTACATTTATTGCTTGACTCAGCAGCATCTAACAATGACCACCACCTTGATATCCTAAGAAGTAAAGTGCAATTTTGAAAATAAGTATTAAAAAAAATAAGTATAGTAGATAAAATAGCACACGAATGTAGTTTTCTTTCTTGTTTTTGTTGCAAGTATTTTCTATTTCTTTTAAAACATACATAAACATAAACCAGGAGGTTATTTTTAAAAACAAATTCATTCAATATAAAATATCTCATCCCAAAACCCTTCCTGCTTTCTTAATATCATTTTCACTTATCTAGTGCTCAAAATATTGGATTGTGGCATTTCTCTTTTATTAGTGGGATAACTTCAAAAAACACAATCTTTTCTTCAATATTTTTTCTCTGCTGTGTGTAATTTTTTTTTTCATTTTAGTATCTAAACTCTCAGAGAATTCATTATTAAATTATTGAGGAGTAATGATATCAGTGTGAGGATTAAGGTGCATCTGATTAAGGCCATAGTCTTTCCAATCATTTGTTATGCATCTGAGAGTTGAACAATGAATAAGGATGACAGAAAGAGAATTGACACTTTTGAGCTGTGGTATTGGAGAAGAGTATTGAATATCCCATGGATGGCCAGGAGAACAAACATATCTTGGAGATGGTGCATCCAGAGTGCTCTATGGAGGCAAGAATGATGAGGCTTCGCCTAACATACTTTGGACATGTTGCTAGGAGAAGGGTATTCCTTGGACAGGGACTTGATTCTGGGAAGAGTAGAAAGTCAGCAAAGGAGAGGAAGACCCTCAATCAGGTGGATTGACATGGTGACTACTGCAATGGACTCTTGTATGTCAGGAAGTGTGAGGATGGTGCAGGATAGAACAGGGTTCAGACCTTTTGTTCATAGGGTCACTGTGAGTCTTATTCGACTCCATGGCACCCAAACCACAACAGAGAAATCACAAGTGAGCACACAGAATTTTACATCACTGACAATTTCAGCTTTGCAGTTAGTAAAAATATAAAGTGAGGGTAAAATAGAGGAAACCAAAAGCCAACTTTAAAAATAAAATCCTTTCTTTTCTTGGCACCATAACAGCAATATCCAGTTCATCTTTCACATGGAAGAAGATTCAGAATCACCAGGACTTTTCTTGCTTTTGTTTACATTCCATGAGTTCATCTGTGTCATGGTGAAGAAAGGTGCTACAGAGATTGTGAACTGGCCTCCTTCATGTAAGAGTGCAGGTCTAGGCAGTGGCTGGGTGTGGAGTGCAGGTGAGAGAGCAGGGAGGGGATTGCAATGTTAGGAGGGACCTCTCCAAGGAGTATTACTGCCTGAGGGCAGATACACACAGAGAGACTTGGGGAGCAGCTCACCTTTCCATACACAGTGGATATTCTTCATCTCAGGACTCCACTTGAGGCTGGAGCCACAAAGAAAGTTTGAAGGGCCTTCTAAAGACATGCCACTTGGACAGGAAAGGGTCACCTTCTCACCCACTGAGTAGAAAAGCTTGTGGGAATCGCTCTGCACACCATCCGCCAGCTCAGGTAGAACACAGGCTATTTCTAAATATAAAGAGAGCAGTGTGCAAGGGTCATTGCTTTTCTGAACCATCTGTGTTTCAAAACGACAGCTTGGGTTAGTGTCTGTATACTTGCTCTTCTTCACCACATTAGGGAAATTCACTCTCAGAGTGCCCTGAATAACACTTCCCATAGTGCCTTCCAGATAGCTAACCAATGAATAACCAAAGACCAAATCAGCTCCCCATCCTACTGCCCTTGTCCTCAAAAGAATATAACAATCTAAAATGAAATCCAGGGTCCTAAAGCCTAGGCTATTTTTAAAACCAGACTTTTCACTATACCCACTTAACTCTCTGGTCTAGTGATGGCCCACTAGAATTTTCCTGTACTCTGCTACATTTAGGGGTTGTTTTTTTAATTTTTTTAACTTTTTTGTATTCATTTTAATGAAAGTTTACAGCGACTTAGGGTTTCCAGTCATTCATTGTTGCATTTTTCTCCCTGCCCACCCTCTCCCCCGATTCCATTTTCTCCTTAATAAGTAAAAGAAAAATTATTTCATTGCTATGTACTCCCTCCCCCAAAGCCCACTACACTGTAAAGCCTTCGAGACTCTTGTCATGACCATAATGTTGTTGTTGTTGTACAACAGCCCTAAAACCTGCTCTATTCTGTGCCAATCACACTGCCTCTGACACACCCATCCCAATAACCCCAGTCACTGAATCAATCCATCTCATAGAGGGCCTTCCCCTCCTGCGCTGTCCCTCCACCCTCCCAAGCATGATGTCCCTCTCCAAGGACCCGTCCCTCCTTACAACATGTCCAAAGTATGTCAGACGAATAATACCTAATCATATATCCCTTTTAAGCAGTTCTCTCTCTTATCTGTGGCAATGAAGTATGCATCATTCCTCCCCTTCTTCTCTGCCTTCCCTCAACCCCAAAGCCAGTCCTACTTAACAATAGTGGCTGTATGCAATATTTGTCCTTCTGTGACTGAGATATTTCACTCAGTATAATGTCCTCTAGGATCATCCACTTAGCATAATATTTCACTAGTTTCTTGTTTTCAGTGCTGCATAGTATTCCATTGTATGAATACACCAGAGCTTCTCTATCCATTCATTTGTTGCTGGGCACTTGGGTTGTTTCTAACTCTTTACTATTGTGAACAAAGCTGCAATAAACATGGGTGTGTGTATATCTGCTTGGATGGTGGTTATGGTTTCTTTAGGGTACTCTTATATTTGTATCACATTTCTCTATACTCAAATAGATTTTTCACAAATCTGAAAGGGAGTTTTGTTTTAAACTTTTTGTTTTGATTTAGGTGAAAGTTTACAGAGTTAATGGGCTTTCTAATCACAAGTGAATTCCGATGTGCATTATGGTGAGCTCCTGTCTTACAGAGTAGAACGTGCTCCAGGGGATATTTTGAGTGAAATATTTATAGAAGTAGATCTTCAGGCTTTTCTTCTACAGTACTGCTGAGGGGGCTAAACCATCAGCCCTCAGAGTAGGAGCCAATGCACATCAGGCTTCATGATCTTCTCCGTCCTTTAATAGGACTCTTCCCATTTCTGTGTTTCGCATTTGCACACATCCTTCTTTCCTCTCTCTTCCTGACTTCTGAGCTTCTGAAAATATGTTGGTTTTCTGTGACTGATTGTTCTAAGGGGTGTATGTTCCTCCCTTATGTTATTAATCATCTTGTGTCTGAAATTCTTAAATAATTCTTTAACCTTGAAGCTATAAAACAACAAAACCCACTGTCAAATCAGAACCTGACTCATAACTGACCCTCTAGCAGACTTTCGGAAGCTGTAAATCCCCACCCGCCAGGCCACCAGAGCTCCCTTGAAACTACAAAAATGTCACATTTTCTTTTGTTTCCAATCCCTTTAATTTTTCGTTCCTCAATTACGATCCTTAGCTCAAGTCTTCTCCTTGAGGGAAAAAGAAAAATACAAGTCAAGATTCATGATTAAAACAAAAAAATCTTGAGAGTATCTCTAATGGTGTCTGGATAATAGTTTACAAAACCAAGCTCAACTTCTTTTTTTAATAGCTACCCATGTTCTTGGTTTTTCTTGTTGTTGTTGAGCATGTAGACAGCAAAACAACACACCAGTTCAACAATCTCCACGTGCACATTTCAGTGATTTGGATTACAACCTTTAAGCCGTATAACCATTCTGATCTTTTTTTCCCAGGGTTTCACCTCTGTTTATGAGCACTTGTTGTCACCTAAGTATCCTTTCTAATTTTTCAAGGTACCGTTTGATTTAAGAAGCCTCCAGGAGCCAATTTTCATTTCCGTTTTAAAGATTTTTGTTGTTCTAGGCAGTAGTTTCAAAGATTCCTTTAGCTCCCACGACTCGAGAAGGTGTATCTTGAGAAAACGTCTGCTCGGTTTCTTGTTTATGCTCATCAAAGAACACATTTATTCATTCATAGAAGCATTTATTGTTTATATTTTTCCAAGTGCAACATGCTACTGGGACCATAAGTTAGAAGTCAAGTATTCTGCCCTCAAAAAGCAAAACATCTATCATTAGATTTATTTGCTTCTGCCCATGACACATTGTTGTTGCTGTTGCTGTTGTTGTTGTTGTTGTTGTTGTTAAGTGCCGTCGAGTCACAGGCGAATCATGGAGACCCTATGAAGGAGAGTCCTCGACACTTGGTTGCCTTTCATCCTCTTTCCAGGTTCATAGGGTTTCCGGAGGCAAGCTATTACGGAAGTGGATGCCACTCCTCCTTCCCATGACACATTAGCTAGTTTAAATACTACACAACTTGGGAGAAGCTGGAGAGCATTTGCTGAGAGAACTAACATAGCCTCGTAAGGAAAAATAATGGATAAGACCATTATTGTAAAAATAGAAAGATAAAAAATGCACAAGAACTCAAGGTGGTGCGGGGAGCAGAATGGTGGGGAGGGCCGCACAGTTTGAAGAAAAAACAAAACAAAATGTCATGTTCTTCCCCAGCTTTCTGACTGCTTCTCACATACGTGATCCCTTTCAACTTGTTTAACTTTGAAAAACTTGTTTTCTAAAACACAATTTGTCTTCATATAAGTCTATTTGGGTTAAAAAAAAATTAGATCACCATGTATTTGAATCTATAATCTTTCTTTTAACAGCCAAGGAACTGATAATTGGATGATAGGGCTCCTAACTGGAGAACACTGAAGGTCCATTCTGGGCACTTCTGGAATTTGGACAAGATTACAGCTTCTCTCAGAAAAGTGAGGTCTAGATATAGAGCATACAGGGCAGAGGTTGGGGTGGGTTTGTTTTGTTCTTATTTTTTAATTTTAATTCATTCTCGTCTACGCCATTCTCTAATCTTAAATCTTAACAACCATGGACACTCACTCTGACAATGCATTTCTCCAACAAGCCAATTCAAGTCTTCTCCACATCTGGCAATGGGGTTTCCAACAAGAGAATATCCATCACTGCAAGTGTATACTATGCTTTTCCCAGGAGGAAAGATGGAACCTTCATCCTAAGCAAAAATCAAAGATTGAGAAGGTTGGATTGATCTGTTTTTACATTAATAAAATGTTCTTCTAGATATATTTTCCTAGAAAATATTTTCATTTAAAAAATCATCTGGCAAACTACATTAAAACAGCTGTTTTAGAAAATTTTCCATAAATGTATTTCCCCCAGTATAATCCTAGTCAACACTACCAATACCACCAAGAATGAAATGGCATCATAATTTGTTGACAGTTTTCGAAATAGCAAGCTCTGTGCTGCACATTTAAAGTTAGTTTAATAGACACTGCTCAAACAAATTCTTCTCCTTATATTTTCAGGAAAAAATTCTTTGTCATTAGTTTTTTTTAAAAAACAAATTAAGGTGTTATAGGCTGTTCATTAGTAATCAAAAAGAAAGTTGCCATTAAGTGTATTGCAAGTCATGACTTCACAAGTGTCAAAGTAAAATTGTGCTCCTTAAAAAACAAAGAACTCATGAAGTATTATACAAAATGGGTGACCCTGGAGGATATTATGCTGAGTGAAATATCTCAGTGATAAAAGGAAAAATACTGCATAATGCCACTGTAGTAAAGTAGGACTGACATCGGGGTTGAGGGGGAACTAAAAGGGGATAAATAATGTACATGGTATTGAAATAGATGAGTAAGAGAGCTGCTTAAAAGGAATATATGATTAGGTATTATTTGAATGACAACAGTCCAGAACTTCATGGTGAAGTAGACTGGGGTGGGGGTGGGGAATTGTATAACAATGAAAGAATTTTTTTTCCAAAAAGAAATCGCATTGGGGGGCAGGGAGGAAAATGTGCAATAATGAATGAATGGAAATCTATAAAGTTCCACTAAAATCTCAATAAAATTTAAATTAAAAAAAAGAATCGTGCTCCACTGGGTTTCCAATGGCTAATTTTGGACAAATATATAATTAGGACTTTCTGCAGGGTCCTGTGACTGAACTAGACCAGCCAACTTTCCACACAATGGCAAGGCATTTTAACTGTTTGTACTACTTAGTAAATAGCAGCCTAAATAGTTAGAACTGCTCGATTCCTTTCATATTGTTCATAGAAGTTTCAACTTCTTTTAGGGGAAACATAATACTGATCTTCTTCCAGCCCACCCTCTAGTCCACCGGTGGTGCTGGAATTGGTCAGATTCAAAGACATTTAATTAACCTTTAGTGACAGGAGTGAACTTTCATGGTGAAATAAAGAAGAATTTGAAGCTTGACCTTAAGAGAGAGTCCTCATACTCTTTAAGGTCATTCGAAGGTCCATTCTTTGTCTACCTGGTTCTACCTTATCCATAATGATGGTGAAGACATTCGGGCTATGAGAAGGCTTAAAACTGATAGCTACACCCAATTTTGCATCAGGACAAAATTTTCTAATGTCTGCTTCTTCTCATTGTCAGTCTCACTCCTCATGGTTAACCCTGGCTATTCCATTCACGACAGTGAACTTGAGCCACAGGCTCAAGTTGAAGTTTGAGAAAAATAAGCAAAGAACACTTGGCCTGCTTTGGTACCAGCTCCAAATCTTCAACTTTTCAGAAGGAATGTCCATCTAAGGAAGTCCACCAGTATCCAAACTGGGACACTATATCAGAATTCTATATCAGAACAACTTGTAACAATTTAATAAAATACAGATTCCCAAAACTTCTAAGCAGAAATGGAGGAAAAGGGACAGGCATCAATGGTTTATATTTTCCAAGAGACTCAGATGTAACTAGACAGTGGAGATGCGTTTAGGACCTGTGGTTCCTTACAGAGCACTCCAAGCACTGGCGTTTGAGACAATGACTTCACAGTTTGTTAAAATGTATGGATTTGCTTGGCCTCATTCTTTGAACATGAGTTTTCCTTAGAAATATGAGAACGTGGCTCAAAACCACAATTCCTTCATGCACAGTGGCGGGGAGTGTGGATGTTAAAGATGCTGGATTCATTTTCTTACTCTTCTCTCTCCTTGCCATGCTCTTACACACACACGCACACACACACTACCTAGCATCACTTCCTCCATCTAGTAGGATGTATAGTGAGGAAAACTACAGTAGACTCAAAAGCATAGGAAAGTTGCACAATGAATAAGGAAGACTGCAGAAGAATTTATGCCTTTGATTGCAGAGTTGTAGAAGAAGATTGAATGAATATACTTTGGAATGCCAAGGGAACAAATAAATCTGTATTGGGAGAAGGGCAATTGGGGTCCTCCTTGAAGGTGAGAATGATATTTCATCTCACACACTTAGGGCAGGTTGTCAAAAGAGACCAGTCCCTAGAAAAGGACATCATGCTTGCTAGATAGAAGATTGTTGTTGCTGTTGTTGTTGTTGTGTGCTACGGAGTCACCCGCAACTCATAGTGACTCTATGTACAATAGCTCTGAACCCTGAGCCAGATAAGCAGGAAAAAGAGGAAGGCCCTCAATGACCCGACGTGACATATTGATGACAACAATGAGCTCAAGCAGGGCAGCGATTGTCAGGCCAGTACCAGACCAGGCAGTGCCTTACTCCATTGTGTGTAAGGTTGCAACGGATCAGAACCTGCCCAGAAGCAGCCGCAGACTCTTAGTGTGCACATACGCTCAGGGGTCTGAAATTTGGAACAAAAACTCCTTCAAGGAGAACTCAAGGTTGGCAGCACTGAGAGAGTTCTGATAAACACTAGCCACAGTGTGAGCCATGGAGGGACTTGACTGGGGTTTGCCTCCAAAGCCAAGGAGTGAGGCCAGCTCTAATTAATATGGCCCTAAAGCCAGGAAAATTCTCCTAGTGACAGCTGGCAAGTGACTCATGTTCTTTTCTGAAAAAGAAAATTGTTCAAAGAACAATGATCCATATCTCACCAGTCACTGGCTTAATGTCCTATCAGCTCCAGGAATAAAATTAATGCTTCTTCCCAAATGTATAAACCAAAACATTGAGGGAGGGAGGAAGGCAGGTGTAGGGTGTCCTCTTAAAATAGTAAGAACAAAACATAGTTCTCTGAATTAAAAAGCTTGCTTTCAGTGCCCTGTTTTAATGCCCAGAGTGGATATGTTTAGCAAGCCTCCAGCATGATTACATTCCTAGCTCACTGGCCAGCAATATTGATTTCTCTGGCCACAGAAGATAGATTGCCTTCTAACTGCCATGGGCCCAAGGCAAAAAAAAAAAAAAAAGAAAGAAAGAAAAATCACAAACTCAAACCTTCACCACTAAAAGTAAAATGTTCACATAGAATGCTTTCAACATTGTACCACCATGGAAGAAAGAAATTGTAATATCAGTAGAGAAATGGCATTTTGAGCCAAAAGTCTATGTAAAGAAAACCCAAAAGGATCTTTCATAGCTGACTTGGACAAATCCGTCTTTCAAGGAAGGCGGTGGTGGACAGGAGTCTGTTGGAACTGAAGGCAAAGGAAAACAGTGTGGTTCAAGTAACCTGGAAGGAAAAAGAAATAAAACATATCATTAATGTGGCTGCTTTTCACAGCTTAATATTTGGCTCTACAGTGAATTTTTTACTCAGATGTGGAAAGATTCCTTCATGCAGTCATATTGATATAACAGTTTTATTATTTTGAGAATCAAGTATCTTATCACAGCCTATGATAGAAAAGCCACATTGAAACATAAGCTAAAAAATCCTAGCATAGATACTCTGGTGGCTTCGTGGTAAGTAATTATGCCAACTCAAAGGTTTGAGGTTGGAAGGGATAAAGAGGGACAATCTTGTCACGTGATTTACTGCACCTGAAAACCCAGTGGAGGGTCAACTCTGGGTTGCTTTACTTGATGGTACAAAACGACACCACAAAAAAGTAATATGAAAACCAGGCAAAGAGAATGAAAAGCAAAGCAATGACCATTGATAACACTCCTAGCTTATGTGATCTCTGAGAGTCAATTGACTCAAAAAGTATTTAATATTCTGATGTTTGAGTCTGAAGTCTCATCAACACTAAATTAATTTTGTCTTAAACTGAGTTAGTGATCGTGGCAGAGAACATTAAATAGTAATGACTAGCTTTTAGTGAGCTTTTATTAAGTCTAGGCACCATGTTGTTGTTGTTGGTAGGTGCTGTCAAGTCATGTGCAACTTGTAGTGACCCCATGAACAACAGATCTCAAACCCATCCTATTCTGTGCCATCTTCACACAAGAGCCCAGTGCAACAGTCACTGTGTCAGTCCACTTGGTTGAGGGTCTTCCTCTCCTTCACCAATCCTCCGCCCTTCTCAGCATCATGTCCTTCTCCAAGGAATAGCCCCTCCTCGCAACATGCCAAAATACATGAGACAAAGTCTCATCACTCTTGCCTCCAAGAAGCACTCCAGCTGCACCCTCTCCAAGACATATTTATTTGTTCTTTTGGCCATCCATGGGATGTTCAGGGCTATTCTCCAATATCAGAGCCCAAAGGCATCAATCATTCTGTCATCCTTACTCATTGTTCAGCTCTCAGGTGCATAGCAAGTGATTGGAAAGGCCATGTCTTCAATCAGAGGTGCCTTAGTCCTCAAAGTGACATTATTACTCAATAATTTGAAAAGGTCCCTAACTGCAGATTTTCCCAGTTCAATGTGTCTCCTTATTTCCTGTCTGCTGGTGTCAAGAGTGTTGCATGTGAATCCATGTAAGATGAAGTTGTTGACAGTTTCAATCTGTTCTCCATCTGTCATGATGTTGCCTATTGGTCAGTGGTAAGAATCTTTGTTTTCAAATTTTGCTATATTGAAAGATGCTATAGACAATAGATTGAACAATCCAGAAATCAAAAGAAGATGGGGGAAATATACAGAATCACTGTACCAAAAGGAATTGATTGACATGGAAAAATTTCAGGAAGTACTATATGAACATGAGCAAATGGTAATGAAGGAGGAAGTGGAAGCTGCATTGAAGGCGCTGGCAAAAAAATAAGGCCCCAGAAATAGATGGGATACCAACTGACTTGTTCCAATTAATATATGCAGCCTTAGATGCATTCACCAGTCTACATGAGGAAATTTGGAGGGCAGCTGTCTGGCCAATGGACTGAGGGAGATCCATATTTGTTCCCATTCCCAACAAAGATGATCCAAAAGAATGTGGAAGCTATTGAACAATATTATTAATATCCCATGCAAGCAAATACTGCTGAAGATCATTCAAAAATGGCTAGAACAGTACATAGATAGGAAACTGTCAGAAGTTCATGTAGGATTTAGAAGAAGCTATGGTACCAGAAACATCATTGCTAATGTCAAATGAATCCCGGCTGAAAGGAAATAATATCAGAAGAATGTCTATTTGTGCTTTTTTTTGCTATGCAAAGGCATTTGACTGTTTGGATCACAAGTTGAGAAGAATAGGAATCCCTGAGCACTTAATTTTGCCCATCAGAACGTATACCTGGACTAGGAGGCTGTTCTGCAAACAGAGCAAGGGAACACAGCCTGGTTTAAAATTAAGAAGGGAGTGCATCAGGCTTTTATTCTCTCGCCATGCCTTTTTAATCTGTATGCTGAGCAAATTATTCGAGAAGCTGGACTGTAAGAAGAATGCAGCATCAGGATTGGAAAGAACTCATCGAAAACCTGCTTTGTGCAGATGACACAACTTTGCTTGCTGAAAGAAAGGAGAACTTGAAGCACTTGTTGTAGAAGATCAAGGAATGCCGCTTTTGGTATGTGCTGCATCTCAAGATCAAGAAAACAACGATTCTAGGCACCATACTATATGCATGGCATTGTTGCATGGCATTGAGTGGATGTTGACTCATAATGACCCTATAGGAGAAAGTAGAAATTCCCACAAGATTTTCAGACTGCAACCTTCAATAAGGATTGCATTTCAATATCAAGTAAACAAAGATTCTCACCATTGGACCAATAGGCAGTATCATGATAGATGGAAGAAGACTAAAATGTTAATAATTTCATCTTGCTTGTATCCACAATCAACATACATCCTTGGCACTAGTCATTAGGAAATCATAAGATAAGTTGCACTAGGTAAATCTGTTGTCAAGGACCTCTCCAGACTGCTAACGTGTATTGATTACAGTCTAGAGACTAAGGTGCACCTAATCCAGGCCATGGCCTTCTCAATTGCTTGCTATGCATTTGAGAGCTGGGCAATGACTAAAGATGACAGAAGAAGGATCAAGGTCTTTGAGTTGTGATGCTGGAGAAAAGTATTGAATATACCATGAACTGCCAAGAGAACAACAAGGCCTGTCTTGGAAAAGCTGAAACAGAGTTGCTCCTTGGAGGCAAAGACTGTGAAGCCTTGTCTCACACACTTTGGTACATTGCCAGGAGTGACCAGTCCTTGAAGAAGGACATCATGATTGGAGAGTTATAGGGTCAGCACAGGAGAGGCCCACCCTGGATGAGATAGATTGACCCAGTGACTGTGGCAATGGGGTCAAATGTGTCAAAGACTCTGAGGTTGGCTCAGGATAGGGGAAAGTTCAGAGTCATGGTTCACAGGGTCACTACAAGTCATAAATGATTCAATGACACATAACAATAATAACAGTCTTTTTGGAAGCAAATTGCCACATCTTTCACCCATAAAATGACTGGTGAATTTAAACTTCTGTTCTTCAATTAACAGCCAAGTTCTTAATCAATCCACCATCAGGGTTCATTGGAAGTTGCCCTACAATATCTCAGTTCAACCCTACGTGGAGAAAACTCAAGCTCATAACATGCGAATGACTTTTCCAAGGTTATAAACTAACACTACAAGATATGGATTCAAGTACAGTGAGCTAAGTTCCTAAAATCATATTCTTCCAACCACTCAATAGAAGGCACTAACAGGAGAACAAGTAGTCACAAAGTGTCTACATTTTTTCCAAAAATATATGTGACTGGTTTCAGAGTCTCTGATGAAAGCAAGATTTGATCATGTTTGGAGCAGAAATTCTAAGCCTTGGAAGAAGATAAGGGAACAGAAGCCCTAGGACAAGCTCGACAAAACCATCTTGACACTTCACCATCATGGTGACCTCCTCTAGGAAAAGCTGTCATCTTCTTCATAATGATATTGATGACACTCATCATCATGCAATGATTTCAAGAACCTCTGAGAGAATCAATATATCACCACAGTTCTCCGCACATTAGAGGTGGAGATTCTGACGGAAAGCATTACACATAGCTGATAGGGGTTATCACCTTCTCAGCTGAGTCCCCTACACTCTTGAAACACAAAGGAAATTTTAAAAATGTGAAGCACTGATCATGATCTTCTTGTTTGAACTGAGAAAAATATTACCACTCCTCCGACCTAGTGAGGAAGGAGTTGTATGGCCAACCCAAAGACTAGTGGTTCAAATCCACCTGCTGATTCATGGGAGAAAGGTGAGTTATCTCTTCCAGGGCAATGTGTGGCCTCTGTAAGAAAATAAGCTAAGAGAATCAGATATAATTCCATCCCAACATGATGGCACATAACTACAATTGCAAGCATCAGAAGTAAAAATGCCTTCAGTGTATTTTCCAGGGTGCTCCCTTTCCTTTTAACAACAGGATAAATGTTCTCACTCAGTCAAAGACCTCAGGGGCCTCATCCTCCCCAAAATGCAGCATTCTTTCCCCATAATAATCCTACTTGTTTTTCAGCTTCTTCTATCCAGAACTATTGGTAATAATCAGAAATCAAGGAATCAAAGACCTTGGGATGGGACATCTCTCAGCCCTATACCCCTGTGTTGTTGTTGTTGTTGTTGTTATGTGTCATCAAGTCACCTGTGACTCATAGCAACCCCATGAACAATAGCTCTGAACCCTTCCCTGTCCTGAGCCAGTCTCCCCAACTCCGACACACTTATCCCCACTACCCTAGATACTATGTCAGTTCATCCTATCCAGGGTCTTCCTGTCCCGTGCTCCTCCTCCACACTTCCAGGCATGATGTTCTTGTCCAAGGGCTGGTCCCTCCAGGCAGCACACCCAAAGTATGTGAAACAGAGGTTCAAAATCCTTGTCTCCAAGAAGAAACTTGGTTTCACCTTCTCTTGGCGGGTCTATGGTATGTATGTTCAATACTCTTCTTCAGTACCACAACTCAAAGGGATCAATTCTTCTTCTGTCATCCTTAGTTATTGTACCTATACCCCGATTGTTACTGTTGTGTACTGTAGAGTTGGAACCGACCCATAGCTGATCCTCAGCTGGGTTTTCAGAGGTAGTTAATTGCACAGGAGGAGATTGTCCATCCCTCTCCCATGAGCAGCTGGTGGCGTCAAACCGCATCCCTTCAGGATTGCAGCACAGCTTCGTGCCACTAGGCCAAATTCAATCAAATTCCCAAATGATAAATTGAATTAAATTCCCAAATGTCTCTCACCTCTCTCTTCAACTTGAATAACCTTCAAATTTTCTTATTTGAACTTTTGGACAAATTCCTGATTAACTCACTCTCAAGCTCATTGTCATCAAGTCAGCACATAACTGACCCTCCAGTGAGTTTTCCAGAAGCTGTAAATCCAGGAGGAGATAGCCTGTCGTTCTCTCACAAAGCCAGTGGGGGATTTGAACCACCAGAGAAGTGTCACCTATGGGTATTCAACACAACTAACTCCCTCTGGACAAGGTTACCAGAGTTCTGAAATTCTTCATTTGAAAAAGTTGATGAAGACAATTAAAAACAGAGAGAATTGGCATAAAGAACTCTGACCTAGAGACTGGATCCACACATTTAAGCCCTTCTGAGGTAATTTTTGCAAGGTCTTGAAATATAAACTAATTGGTGGCAAACTACTGAGCTAATTAATTGAGAGGTATTTTTCATCTCAAGCATTCCTGCATTTGCAAATCAAATAACAGCCATAATAATAGCCCACAGTGTATCTGAAAAACAATGCACTCACATTCACTCACTCATTGCTGTCAAGTCAGAACTGACTCAGATGACCCTGCGCCTGGTTTTCCAAGGATGCTAATCACACGGGAGGAGATTGTCCGTCATTCTCTCAAAGATTAGCTGGTGAATTCCAACAGCCACCTTAGAGTTAGCTGCACAACTCCCTGCAGACTACACCACCAGTTAATGTTGACTGAATCCTAACTCTGTACCAGTGACTATACTAAGTAGTCACATTAAATTCTGACAACACCTTATTATCATTTTCTCTGTTGCCATTACTCTCATTTTAGAAATATGACGAGTCACCTGCCCAAGTTCATACAGCAAATAGATAGATCTAACTGGTGACAAGGCTGCAGCTCCACTCAGCTGAATGGCCTGGCAGTCGCAGGGAAACCAGAAACCCATGAATGGAGTGGGCTCCAAGCTTCCCTGCCTTCCAGTAACCCCAGTGCTAACAGGGAAAGCAGTCACTGATAAAAATAACCAATTCACTCTGACATCTTTCCATAACAGTCACAGCATAGTCCACGTTTACAGCATGGAGCACTGCCTAGTTCCTTGTAACTTCCAGGAATTCTAGTCTTTATTACCGAAAATGGTTCAGCTCCTCATCTTCACATTGCTTGCTTTCTGATGTTTCTCCAATACAGGATTTCCCTCCTCCACTGGGAGGTGGGTTATTGCATTTTCGGCTCCTTGTCTTCTTCCCTTGAGCACAAGGGCTCCAAGAGGACCAGCAACTCCAACCTCCATCAACCCCTCCTGTAAGATAAGAGAGATCCTTCAGCAAGTGCTGGCGTAGGACTCCAGTGCTTAGCTCTATGCTTCTTGTTAAGCAGAGGAAGGCGGAAGAGGATGAGACCTCAGAGATTTGTCACCTTCACTCTGTTCACTGAGGTTTTCCAGAATGGCCAAATTTCCTCTCCACATATCTATATTAAGGCTGCATTAGGATCTTTTTGGCAATGATACAGCTTTCTCAAAATAATAAACTGGTGAGCCAGCCTGTTATCATTCTTACTTAAGAGATGAGGAAACTAAGAGTAAGTGGCCAAATGCCATTCCCAAGACTGTAACTGCTGACAAGAGGCACACTCCAGACTGCAGTCCCAGCCTTTTAGGTGAGTGACCCCAGGCTCTTGTTATCTCTTCACAATTTCTCAATAAGGTGAGTTCCTATTATTAAAACAATACTAAGTATGAGAAGAATATACTCTACTCAGCACTCCAGGCTGAAAATCCCAGAACTGATTCTGTACACAGTGAAATTCTAGATAAGCGGTAGAAACCACTCAACCCATTACCAGTAAGCCAAAACTGACTTAGAGCTGAACCTCCCGCAGGTGTTTGAGGCTACAGATCACACAGGAGGAAGGTGCCCACTTTATCCTGAGTGGCTGCTGGAGTCAAACTGCCAGAGAAATGCCACCTTGGGTTAAGCAGTGAAACTCCCTCTGGACTAAGCCACCAGAGCTCTAAGAAGGAGAAGTGTTTTTAAAATCCCACTTTTACCTTCTTTCTGTCATTCCCCAACATACAGGCATCTTCTCCCCTCACCCTGACCACTTCGTATCCTAGGGAGATATCTAAAACCCAAAGTTGTAACATCTCCCCTATTTTTATGCCCCAGAGGAAAACTTAAAACTAAACCTGTTGCCACTGAGTCAATTCCTACTCATAATGACTCTGCAGGGCAGAGCAAAACTGCCCCCTAGGGTTTGCTAGGCTAGAATTTCTACAGAAGCATATTGCCACCTATTTCTCTTACAGAGTAGCTTGTGAGTTCAAGCTTCGCCACCAGGGATCCCTTCCTTTGGGGGAAAAGAACCTCCAGTTCTTCTCACATTTCTCTTCAGAGTCCAGCTTTACAAATTATTTGCTCATCACACAGATTAAATAGGTATGGAGAAAGAATATAGCTCCACCATACACCCTTCCCAATTTTAAACCATAAAGTGTTTCCATGCTCTGTTCTGACAACATCTTCTTGACCTAGGTATTGATTTCTCACAGGCACAATTAAAAGTTCTGGCATTTCCCATTCTTTTTAATGTTAGCCATAATTTGTTATGATCCACACAAATGCATTTTCATAGACAATAAAATACAATCAGACATTTTTCTGGTATATTTTGCTTTCAGCCAGTATCCATCTGACATCAGCAATGATATCCCTGGTTCCATGGCCTCTTCTAAACTCAGCTTGAACTTCTGTCAGTTCTCTGTCAATGTAATGAGCTAGCTGTTTTTGGATGATCTTCAGCAATATTTTTCTTTCATGTGAAAGCTTTTATGTTCTGCAAAAATTTCCCCATTGTTGGATCACCTTTCTTGGAATAGAGGACAAATATGGGTCTCTTCTAGCCAATTGGGCTAGGCAACTGTCTTCAAATTTCCTGCATAAATATGTGAGCGCATCCAGGGCTACAGCTCTTAGTTAAAACATGTCAATGGGTATTCCATCAATTCCTGAGGCCTTATTTTATGCCAGTGCCTTCAGTGTAGCTTGAACTTCACCCTTCATTGTCATTGGCTCTTGTTCATATAGTACTTCATGAAATTTTTCAGTGCCAATTAATTCTTTTTGGTATAGTGATTCTGTGTATTCCTTCCATTTCTTTTTGATGCTTCATGGATCATTCAAGATTTTGCCCACTACATCTATCAGTGTTGTAACTAGAGGCTAGAATTTGTTCTTCAGTCGTTTTAGCCTGGCAAATGCCAAACAGGTTTTTCTCTTTTTCTCTGTCTCCAGCTCTTTGCACATTTCATTATAATATTTTGCTTTATCTTCTTGAGTTTCCCTTTGAAATCTTCTGTTCACCTCTTTAATGACTAAATATGTACTGATCGCCTCCTCAATACTTCCAAGTTAGAGGCACTTTCATCTTAACAAATAATTGGAAATCTAATCCATAAAAAGAATGAGTCACATACACACATACATACACACACACACACACACACACACACCCCAACAAAAAATAAATAAAACAAACACCCTAAGATATTTAGGGTAGCTATTTAGGAAAAACCATGCAGTGCTTCCAAGCTCTGTCCTGACAACTACCCCCTGGTCCAAGTATGTAGGTTTTGCATAAGCACAATCAAGGGTTCTGGTATTCCCATTCTTCTCAAGATTAGCTACAGTTTGTTGTGATCCACACAGTCAAGCACCTTTTTTTTTTATAAAGTTTGCCAACCTTTTTTTTTTAATTTTTTTTTTATGTGTGTACCATCAAATTGGATCTGACTGGTACAGGAGGCGATTGTTCCTCCTTCTTCAGCAGAGCATCTGGTGGATTTGAACTGCGCACCTCTGAGATTGCAGTGGAGCACCTTTGCATAGTCAATGAAACACAAATAGACATTCTTCTGGGTACTCCCTGCTTTCAACCAAGATTCACCTAACACTAGCTATCATATCCCAAGTACCATGGCCTCTTCTAAACCCAGCCTGCACTCCAGGCAGTTCTCTGTTGATGTGCTGTTCCGGTTGTTTTTGGATAATCTTCAGCAGAATCTTGCTTGCATATGATATCAGTTATATTGTTAGACAATGTCCACTCACTGTCAGGTCACCTTTCTTTGGAATGGAAACAAATATAGAGCTCTTCCAGTCAGTTGGCCAGGTGGTTGTACTCCAGATTTCTTTGCACAACTAAAGCTGGACAATGACTAGGGATGATAAAAGTAGAATTGATGCCTTCGAGTTGTGGTGCTGGAGAAGAGTATTGAATGTACCATGGACTTCTAGGAAAACAAACAGGTCCATCATAGAGAAGGTGAGAACAGGCTGTTCCTTACAAGTAAGGATTCTGAAGCTTCATCTGAACTACTTTGGACATGTTGCAGGGAGGGACCAGTCTTTGGAGAGGGACGTCATGCTTGGGAGGGTGGAGGGACAGTGCAAGAAAGGAAGACCCTTGATGAGATGGATTGATGATTCATCAACTAGAGTAATAGGGGTAGGTGTGTCTGAGACAATAAGATTGGCACATGATAGAATAGGGTTTAGGACTGTTGTACATAGATTCACTATGAGTCACAGGTGACTTGACAGTACATAACAACAACAACAACAATTTAGGATCAAAAATGTCTTCCAGATGCTTGTTTATAAGTTGCTAAAATTCAGTCATGTATTCAGTATTCAAATGTTTATTTAGTGACTTCTGTGAATCATGTTCTTTATTGTATTCTATGAGTAAAGAAAGGCAACAACAAGCCTAAAGGAATGAGCTTTCTAGTGAAAATGAACGTAAAAATATATAGATATATGTGTATATGTTTGTGTCTGTGTGTGTGTGTATATATATATATATGTAAGTCACATTTATATATATAATAGTCATATTTGTGTGTATATATATTAGTCATATTTGTGTATCTATTTGTATACTTATAAAGTTAATGTCACAAAACCAAATAACCAAGGACATAGATGAGCACACAGCAAGCATTCAACAAATATTTATGAATAACTTAGTGAGTTTTAGGGAGTTCTAGAGGCATAGTCCACAAGGAGTTGCATTAGTAAGCCAAAGACCACGCCTCTCTGGTGGTTCAAATCCACCACTGGCTCCAAGGGAGAAAGCAGGACCATTTCTTCCTACTGATTTACAGCCTCAGGAACAAAATAGAAGATCGACTACAAATCTGTTCCACCTTGACAGTGAGGAGGTATTTTGAAATTGCTTTGACATCATACAAAACAGAAATAAAGATGCTTCAAAGAGTTTCTCATTAAACAGTTGGAAAGTGCTAACACAGCTCTAAAACCATGATAGAACCAAGCTTTAATGAGATGACTACAGAAGGATAAGCAGTATTTTTAGAATAAATCTATTATAATAATGAGTATAGAGGGCATGGTGGTCTTTTTCAAACAGGAGAATAGATAGACAGAAAAAGCCTTGACCGCAGTAATAGTGAAGGGAAAGAAACAGTAAACCCAAATGCCCAGTGATACTTTTGCCTCTTCAGACACAGCTATGCAAAATCTCAGAGCTCACAGAGGACAGGCAGGAAATTTTTGTCCTGACTTGATATGTTCAGGCTGATGTAGACAACCCCAGGGCTCTGACCTGCATGATTCTCCACGAGAACTCCGTGTTCACACGCCACGCCATAGGTGTACGGTTTGCACTGGCAGTGGCACTGGGTCTTCTCCACAGTGGCCATGCCACCGTTCTGGCAGGGCTGGCAATGGCAGGGGTCAAATTCCTCCAGGTACTCCTCCAGAGCCCGCTTCAGGTAGAGTCTTTTCACAGAAGCACAGGGCACTTCCTTTACCAGCTCATATAAAGGTGTCAGCTGTAAAGAAGAAAAAAAAATCACAATCAGCAGTTCATTAAGGATAAATACTTCTTTTTTGAGTTTAGACTCAATTTTCTTTAACATAAAATCAAAAGCCATCTCTATAGGAACTCTTTCTTTATGTTCAAATAACAAAAGGGAATAAACTCACTCTCTTTGTAACAAAATCAGATAAATGGTAAAATCTGATAAAAAGGCAGCAGTGGGAAAAAAATACCAAAAAATCTGATAAAAGAAGAATATTTTATGTTTATAGATTTTAAAATGTATTTTCCAGTTAACATAAGATTATCTCACCTGCACAAGAAATAGAGTTAACAAAGGTAAACATTATTACATAAAAAATCCTGAATTATCAGCAAAAATAAGTTTTAATCAATAAGTGGGTATATTGGCAGAAAAGCAGGATAAACAGATATGAACAAGTGTAAGTGCCTGTACCCATGACCACACAGATGATATGATAAATTCTACAGATGACATGATAACATTCATATTAGTTCAGGCCATGGTCTTTCCAATTACTTGTTATGCATCTGAGAGCTGGACAATGAATAAGAATGACAGAAGAAGAATTGATGCCTTGGCCTATGGTATTGGAGAAGAGTGCTGAATATCCCATGGATGACCAAGAGAAGAAGCAGATATCTACTGGAGAGGGTACAGCCGGAGTGCTCTTTGTAGGCAAGATGATGAGGCTTTGCATGTTGCTTAGGAGATGCTATTTAACAGTCCATGGGATATTTAGTACCATAATTCAAAGGCATCAATACTTCTTCGGTCATCCTTGTTCATTATCTAACTTTCAGATGCATAGGAATCAACAGAAAAGGCCCTCACTTGGATCAGGTGCACCTTTATATTTAAACTTTTATTCTCACACTTTAGCACTGTGGAGAAGTCCTTAACAGCATATTTCCCCAATGTAGCACATCATTTGACTTCTTGACTGTTGTTACTCTGGGTGCTAATTATAGAGCCAAGAAATATTTATCTATTTATCTATCTATCTATTTATTTATCTATTTATCTATCCTGATGTTGCCTACTGGTCCAGAGATGATGATTTTGTTTTCTTGATGTTGAGATATAATGTATATTAAAGGCTAAAGTCTTTGATCTTCTGAGCAAGTGATTCAAATCCTCTTCGTTTTCAGTAAGCATGATTGTGTCATCTGCATATCACAGGCTGTTGATGAGTCTTCTTCCAATCCTGATGCCATATTCTTTCTTATACAGTTCAGCTTCTCCAATAATTTACTGAGGATACAGGTTGAATTGGTGGGAACAAAAGGTAAACCCTAACACACATCTTTCCTGATTTTAAATCATGCAATGTTCTCTTGTGCTGTTCAGAAACAGCTTCTTAGATGAAAACGTTTGTTGTTGTTATTGTTGTTATTGTTATTATTGTTGTTGTTGAGTCAGAACTGACCCATAGCTGACCTTCCAGAGGGTTTACAGAGGCAGTAAATTAAACAGGAGTTGAGTTTCAATCTTTCTCTCACAGAGCAGCTGGCAGATCCGAACCTCATATCTTTGTATTGGCAGTATGATTTCTTACCACTAAGCCAGTGAACACCAATGAAAACATACGAAGACTTTACAAACAGGTGACTTAGGTTGCACACACCTTAGTCTTCAAAATGACATCTTCACTCTTTAATATTTTAGAGAGATCTTCTACAACGGATTTTCCTAATGAAATAAGCTTGATTTTATGTCTGTTGCTTCCATGAGCACTGATTGAGTTTCAAGAAAAATGAAATTCCTGACAATTCTAATATGTTGGTCCTATGGTGAAGATTTTCGTCTTCCTTAAATTGAAGTGTAAACCATACTGAAAACTAGCCTTTATAGAAGAATGAAGACTGCAGTCTCATTTGCTTCTTTAAGTGCTTCAAGGTCTCTCCACTTCAAATAAGCAAAGTTGGGACATCTGTATATTTATTATGCATTGGTAGCATTGCGGTGACAGTCTCACCTTGGTGGCAGTCAGGCAAGGGAAGTTCCTGGGGTCCATTTGTTGTATGTTACTGTTCTGACTGGGCACAGAGCCTGAGGCCTGCTCAAGGGTGTGACTTTAAAATCCTGCAGGGCGCCCAGGCTATGAAACCAAACACTGTGACACTGATGTGTCAAATGCAAGAATGGTTACCCATGGTGGACAGTGTTTGGTAGAGTTCCCCAATTAAAACAAACTTGGAAGCAGGAGTGGAATCTACTTCCATACTAGCTTGCCTCTGGAAACCCTATGAACCTGGAGAGAGGATGAAAGTTATACAAGTGTCACCTACCACTTAATGGCACTTAACAACAACAACGATGAGTGTCCCTCTGCTCCTGATGCTGTTTTTCTTTATATATTTGATCTTTTTAGCGATTTACTCAGCATACAGAATGAATAAGTATGGTGTAAATATACAACCTTGACGCACACCTTTCCTGATTTTAACCCACCACACTTTTTCTATTTAAACCTATTTGTGCATGATTGGTTGTCATTGTTAGAAACATTCTAGCTACATTTCTTTCAAGACAAATTTGTCCTTTAAGAAGGCTGTGATATGTTGAACATGCTTTCCCCATCCTGTAACTCAAAAACATCAATTCTTCCTATGAAAGCCATTAAAAAGACAATGGCATGGATGAGGTCCACTTTAGACCTCAATGTGATATCCTTGCACTTCAGTGCTTTTAAGGAGGTCCTTTGAAGCAGATATTCCCAATGCAATATGTTATTTGATTGACCACTGCTTCAATGAGCACTGATTATGAATCTAAGCAAAATGAAATCCTTGACATCTTCAAGCTCTTCTCCATTTATCTTTATGTTGCTTATTGGTCTAGTTGTGAAAACTTTTGTTTTCCTCGTATTGACGTGTGATCCATGTTGAAAGTCATTCGAAATACTGGCAGCATAGCTTCCAGCCTCAAAGAAACATAGAGCACACAAGACACCACAGTATGGCAAGCTGACAAACGGGTGGTGACTTTTCAAGACATTTGCCCCTGAAATGTGAACATACTGATAATGAGCTTACTATTGTTTATCATTATGTTTTCATGCTTTTCATCATATGACCTAAAAAAGAAAGCCTAATTGGGATCTAGAATTCTAATCACTGCTGTCTTTAACTACCTTGATTTAAGGCCATTTTCTCAATGCAAATAAAGATCATTGCAACTTGCTACTCTCAGCAGAGAACAACATACCTTTTGATTTATTACTTGGGGAAGACCAGTCACAGATCCTGCCCAGTCAGAATATCTTTTTCTGTTTCCAGCAGGGTCATTGAGATCGAGGGAACTAAGACCAGCTACAAAGTCGATACTTCCCCCTTTGACAAAGGGCTTCCCTCGGAGTATATTGCTGCTGACTCCTGTACGAAGAGAAGTCAAATTCATGAAGTCAGAATACACAAATGAAATGAACAGAAGAACATGAAATTCAACGGGCTGACAAGTATTTAAAAAACCTAAAAAAAAAAAATCCCAAAAACCAAAACCAACCCAGCATCAGACATGAGGCAACAGTTGCTGTTATTTGCTGTCATTTCAGAACCAACCTATCACTGACCCTAGACTGTAAACAGCATAAGAGAAGATGGTTCATCTTTCTCCAAGGAGCAGCTGGTGGATTCAAATCACCCACCTGCCTTTTAGTTAGTAGCACAATTATAATCCCTAAACCAACAGAGATGAATGCTGCTGCTGCTGCTGTTGTTGTTGTCTTGTGTCGTTGAGTAAGAACCAACTCACAGCAGACCCTCCAGTGGGCTTTCAGAGGCTGTAAATGGCACTGGAGGTGATTGTTCATCTTTCTACCAAGGGTCAACTGGTGGTGTTGAACCACCTGCCTCCAGATTGGCAGTGCAATTCGTTACCCACTAGGCCACCAGAGCTCCCTTGAAAGGGTTGATAGTAGTGAGTTATTGTTAATGTTCTAAGATGTAATAAAAGTGTTATCTTGTTCACGAGAATGTCTTTTTTTTAAGATTTGTATAACTTCAGGGATAGAAGTTCATGATGTTTAAAGCCTACTTTCAGATGTTTTGTTGAATAGTTACACATTGTTAATAATAAGCCAACATTGTAAATATCATATGTAAATACACAGTGGTGGTGGGTTATGTGCCATGGAGTCAAAATCAACTCAGAGCTGAGCCTCCAGTGGATTTTCTTTCTTTCTTTTTTTTCAATAAAATTTTTCTTTAATCCTGGTTTACTTACAAAGTTTGTATACCTTCTTTTCAGAGGCTGTAAATCACATGAAAAGAGACTGTCCACCTTTCTCCTGCAGAGCAACTGGGGCATTCAAGCCACATGACTTTGAGTTAGCATAGTAATTTCATCCCACTAAGCCACCCAAGTACACAATAGTAAATTATTAAAATAATTATGTATAGGATGAGGGTGTAAGTGTTGTTACTATTATGTTCTTTCAACACTTCTATGTGTTTGAAGTGTTTCATAATATTTGGGAAATAATTTCGTTGCATCTGGGATAATCCCAATAAGTGACAAATCCTCCAATGAGTCTTCAAAGGCAGTAAATTGCATGGGAGGAAATTTCCCATCTTTCTCCCATGGAGCAACTGGTGGATTCAAACCTCATGTCTTCAGATTAACAGTACACCATTCTCTCTCTCTCTCTCTCTCTACACACACACACACACACACACACACACACACAATCTGCACATCCTGGCAGCCCAGTGCAACAGAGAATAACCAGTGAAGCCCTATTTCCTGCACTGGAGTCAGAACTGTGCTTTTGGAATGTCTTTCTGTACCTAGGGTCCTCATCTGTATAATACTAAAATGAAAGTATCTACTTCTTAGGTAGACTAAATGGTTCATTTTCATGAGTCATTTATAACTGTATGTGGTATATGGTAAATATAATATGTTTTTAAGTACATAAACATAGAACACATGTTGTTGTTAGGTGCCATCGAGTTGAGTATAACTCATAGCGACCCTATGAACAGCCAACTTGAACCCTGCCCTATCCTGTGCCATCCTCATCATCTCTGATACATTATGGCCCATTGCTGACGTCACCACAGCCTTCACTGACCCTCCGTCTTTCCAAGCATAATATCCTTTTCCAAGAAAAAGCCTTGTCTACCTACATATCCTAAATATGAAAAATGGGCTCTGCTGGCTTCTTTGCTAGCTGACTAAGCCCCGTCTGAACCCAGCCAGCAGTGAGGTATGGAGGCTCCTGTGGAAGTCCTCCCAAGCTGTGCTGGAAAGCCAGCCTGACCAAATCACCCAATCCCAGTTCTTCCTGCAGCCACTCTGTGGCCAGCCTGGCATCAATTCAGGCCTTGGCTGGGTGGAGGTGGGCCAGACCTGGTTGTCTAGCCCAGGCAGCTGGTAGGAGGGGGAGGTGGTTGTGTTTCCATGGTTACTGTAAGTGTGGACTGGGAGTGGGGGGAGGGTAGGTCCAGCCTTGTGTGCCCCCACCCTCCCAGCTGAGCTGCCCCTGCTGCTTTAGTGCATAGCATGCATTGAGCTGCCTCCAGCCTGGGAGACCCCTCTGGGTCCATGCTTGGGTTTAAATGCCCATGTTTGCCCCTCTTAAGTCACAAGGAAAAGCCCTTGTATTTTCTCCCTTTAGATGAAACTTGGTAAGGAGTTGGTACAGTCAGATGCTGAGCTCTGTAGTAGGAGGCAGTGGGACCCTCAGGTTTGAATCAATTCTTGTAACCTTCCTGATTCCTCAAACTGCCTAGGTCAGAAGAAAGTTGACTAGGGTATTTGAACAGGCCACACTAAGGCACATGCTGGAGAGTCACAGGCTGCCAGATGCCCATCTTGTAAAGGCAATGGGCAGAGCCCAGAAAGAGAAGTGGTGCCATGAAGTTTGCCCAGGAATGAACGAGGCCACAGTAGAGGCCAGGAGTCCTCTTTTTGTACGCCACAGTTTGAGCATGCTACCAAATCCCAAATAGGCTAAGACTAACAAAGGCAGCTGTGTCTGAGCCAAGCCCTTCCAGGCAGTGTCCTTAGTCCCAGCTTTCCCTCTGACTGGAGACCCTTCTCTGTCCCAAGTCTCCTAAGGGAAAGAAAATAGGGCCTGATGGCCGATGTAGGTAAGGGGGAGTTACTGCATCTGAGACCCCAGCCCTGGCCTGTAGGGGAGCATCGGGGAGTGCATGGGACATGTCCTTGTTGTTAGGGACATTTCCAAGCTGTTAGATGCTGTTTAAAAACAGAAATAAAATTGAAAATGAAAAACTCAAAAAAAAAAAATAAATATGAAAAATGAAGCCTCATCATCTTATCTCCAAGGAGCACCCTGGAGCAACATTTCCAGGACAGTCAATGGATTATTCTGTATTCTTCCCCAGCACCACAACTCAAAGGCATCAATTCTTCTGTCATCCTTATACATTGTGCAGCTCTCTAATGCATAACAGGTGATAGAGAAGACTATGGCTTGAATTGGGCACACCATATCTTCCAGTGTCAACCCATCTGGAGACTAGAGTCAGCGTCTTAAAATATTCCTGCTTGTGCTTCTGTTTCCATATCATTATTTTCTCACCATGTTCAGAGAACTAACCTCTTTTATCACATCATCTTTAAGATGGATTTTTCTCTGCAATATTCATTGCTGTTTCTCCAGAGCCTAGAATAACTCCCGGCAACTAATACATCATCCCCACCACTAGTCGCCATTGAGTCTGTTCCAACGCGTGCTGGCACCATATGTGTCAGTTTAGAATTGCACTGCACAGGGTTTCAATGGATGACACTTTCAAAAGGAGACTTCCAGACATTTCATCTGAGGCATCTTTGGGAATACTAGAGAGGCCAAACTTTCAATGAGTAGCTAAGTATACCTGCTCTACCCAGGGCTTCAAAAATAGTTGATGAATGAAGTAATTGAATGAGTAAAACATACCTGATTTTACTACTCTGCCTACTACCTTCTTGCAAGTATCAATTCATTTCGAAAGAATCCCTGCCAACCTACTGAGAACTTTGCATCTGGAATAATTTTAAACTTCACCCTAATTTGGGATACCCTTCTTGTTTCCTTTGTTATGTCCTGCCAAGTAGACAACAACTTACAGTGACCCCATGAACAACACATTGAACCTTGCTGTTTACTGTGTCATCTTCCTGATCTTTATCTCATACTCAAATGCATTGCTATAGTCACCATGTGGGTTCATACTGTTGAGGGTCCTGGACTCCTTTGCCCACCTTCTGCCGTTCCCATGATCATATCTTTTTCCAAGGACTGTCTTTCCTGACCACATACCCAAGGACCTGACACAAAGTGTCATCATCTTTGCCACTTAAAGGAGCATACTGGTTACACTTTCCCCAAGACAGATTTGTTTGTTCTTTTCACCCCAATTCAAAAGCATCAGTTCTTCTTTCGTATTCGTTACTAATTATCCAACTTTCAATGCATAGGAAGCAATTTAAAATACTCAGGCTAGAATCAGGACCACCTTAGTCTTTAAACTGTTATCCTCGGTCTTTACATTTTTTAGGAAGTCCTTGACAGCAGATTTCCTCAGTGCAACAACACAATATATAATTTCTTGACTGCTGTTATCATGGATGGTGATAGTTTGTTGTTGTTGTTGTTGTTGTTATGTGCCATTGAGTCACTAGCTACTTACTCATAGTGGCTCTATGTACAACAGCCCTAAACCCTGCTTTATCCTGTGTCAACCTTATTGTCTCTGACACACTTACCCCATTACCCCAGTCACTGAATCAATCCATCTCAACAAGAGTCTTCCTCTCTTGCACTGTCCCTCCACCCTTCCAAGAATGATGTCCCTCTCCAAGGACTAGTCCCTCCTTGCAACATGCCCTAAGTATGTCAGACAAAGTCTCAGAATCATTGCCTCCAAGGAGCAGCCTGGTTTTACCCTCTCTAGGATGAACCTGTTTGTTCTCTTAGCAGTTTACGGTATATTCAATACCCTTCTCCAGCATCACAGCTCAAAGACATCAATCCTCCTTCTACCATCCCTAGTCACTGTCCAGCTTTCTGACACATAGCAAGTAATTGCAAAAACTATGGCCTGGAGCAGAGGCATGTTAGTCTCCAGACTGGCATAATTGCTCTTCAGTATTCTGAAGAGGTCCAGACAGCAGACTTTCCCAGTGCAATTCATCTTTTAATTTCCTGACTGCTGGTATCAAGAGTGTTTATTGTGGAGCCAAGCAAACTGGAGCTATTAACTATCTCAATCTCTTCACCATCTATCATGATGCTGCCAATCAGCCCAACAGTGAGGACTGTTTTCTTGATGCTGAGCTTCATTCAATGTTGAAGGCTACAGTCCTTTACCTTCTACAGTAAGTGCTTCCGATCCTCCTCAGTTTCAGTAAGCAAGGTTGTGCCACCTGCATAATACAGATTGTCAATGAGTCTTCCTCCAATCCTGATGCCACAGAGAGTCCAGCCTCCCTGATGATCTGTTCTGAATATTGATTGAAAAGGTATGGAGATAAGACACATCCCTGATGTACACTATTTCCAAGTTTGAACCATGAAGTGTTTTTTTGCTCTATTCTTATGGCTGTGCTTCCAAGCATAGATTTTACATAAGCACAATCAAGTGTTCTGGGATTCCCGTTTTCCTCAAGGCTAGCCACAATTTGTTGTGATTTACACTGTCAAATGCCTTTGCATAGCCAATAAAACACAGATAGACATTCCTCTGGTACTCTCTGCATAAACATTGACATACTAGGTATTGGTGAAATGAGATGGACTGGCACAGGACATTTTTTAACTAGATCTACTACCATATTACATATGGTCTACTATGCCAGAGATGAGAAAGTGAGGAAAATAGGGTTGCTTTCATAGTTTAAAAAGTCATATCTAGGGGAGCTCTGGTGGCCTAGTGGCAAGGAGCTGCAACTACAATCCCAGGTGCACATGGTTCGAATCCACCAGATGCTCTGCCGGGGCAGGAGGGGCAATCTCCTCCTGTACCAGTCAGATCTGATTTGATGGTACACTCACCCAAAAATAATAAAATTTTAAAAAAATTCCTATCTAGATCCATCTTGAAATACAAATGTTGCAAGTGACAGGATAATTTCCATACACATACCACGAAGTCTAATGAATACCACTATCATTCAAATATATGTAGCAACAACTAGAGCCAAAGAGAAGGAAATAGAAGATTTCTACCAACTCCTGCAATCAGAAATCAATCAAACATGCAATCAAGGTGCATTAATAATAATGGGTGACTAGAATGCAAAAGTTGGAAACAGCGAAGAAGGATCAGTAGTTGGAAAACATGGACTTGGTGACAGAAATGAAACCAGAGATAAATGATGACATTCTGTAGAGTTGACGACTTATTCATTGCAAATACTTATTTATAAGAAACATAAATGCAGGCTGTACACATGGATTTCACCTGATGGCATACGTAGGAATCAGATTGATTACATCTGTGAAAAGAATCACTGGAGAAGCTCAATGTTAGCTGTCAACACTAAGCAAGGTCCTGACTGTGGAACAGACCACCAACTATTCATGCAAGTTCAAGGTTAAATATTAAATCAAATTCATGGGAACCATAATTTGACCTTGAGTCTATTCTACTCAAATTTCAAAGCCATCACAGGGACCTGTTTGTGGCCTTGAACAGTTATGGGCAAAGACCAGATGAGCTATGGGGGGATATAAAAAATTGTTGTTAAGTGTCAGATATAAAAAATTGTTGACAAGTGTTGTCAAGTACAACTCGTAGGAACTCTGTGAACAATAAATCTGATCCCTGTCCTGTCCTGCACCATCCTGATCATCTCTACACACTTGAGTCTATTGCAGCAGGGACTGTGTAATTCGATCTTGTTGAGAGTCTTCCATTCTTTTGTTAACCCTCCACCTTTCCAAACCTGACGTCCCTTTCCAACGTCTCCTAGTAAAATGCCCAAAGTATATGAGACAAAGCTTTGTCATCCTTTCCTCCAATGATCACTCTGGTTACACTTTCTCTGATACATATCTCTTCATTCTTTCCGTAGCCTGTAGGATATTCAGTGCTCTTCTCAAACAAAAAAACCCAAAGACATCAGTTCCTCTCCTGATATTCTTATTGCTTGTTCAGATCTCAGATGCCTAGCAAATGATTAGAAAGACGATGGCTTTAATCAGGAACACCTTGGTTTTTAGACCTACATTTTTGCTCCTCAGTAATTTGGAGAGGCCTCTGAAAGCAGACTTTCCCAATGCTACACACGTTCAGATCTCTTGACTGCTGGTACCAAGAGTATTGATTGTGGATCCAGGCAAAATGAAGTCATTGACAATCTCAATCTTTTCTCCATCTATCACAATATTGTCTTTTGATTCAGAGGGCTTTTTTTGTCTTGGTGTTGAGAGATGTAATCCATATTGAAGGTTATAGTCCTTGATCCTATGCAGAAATCTCTTAAAGTTCTTCTTACTTTACAATCAAGGTTGTGTCATCTGCATAGCACAAGTCATTGATGAATCTTCTTCTTATCCTGATACCACACTCTTCTTCATAAAGTCCAACTTCTCTAATGATTTGTTCAGCATACAGATTGAATAGATATGGAGGAAAAAATACAGATCTGATGCACACTTTTCTTGATTTTTTTTATTATTAAATTTTATTAGTTTCAATGAACATTCAGAGGGATTCTGGGCTTTCACTCCTTCATTGCCGCACCATTCTCTCCACCCTCCTCCCCAGTTTGTTCTTCTTCCCCGCCATCCGAATGTCTGTTTTAATTGTCCAATTGCCACAGTGCTTGTCAAAGTCAGTTCTGATTAATCTCCTTTGTCGGTGTGTCCTTTGCCATTCCCTATCACTCCTCCCTGAGAGAGACTTCACCCTGAGTCATAAGGAAAAGGGGATGGTGTATTCTCTTAGCTACTTCCTGCTGAAAAGGGACGCTGTGGGTTTCAGGGTGAAGATCTTCTCTCACTACTCTAAAGGGCCCCTTTGGCAGTAGGAAACACATAGACTATTATGGAGATTGATTTTTGGAATTTAGATGCACTCTTATTGATTGTACTTTTCTTGATTTTAAACCACGCAGTGTTCCCTTGCTCTGCTTATACAATAGCCTCTTGGTCTAGGCATAGGTTTTTCATAAGCACAATTAAGTGTTCTGGCATTCTCATTCTTCTCTGTGTTAGCCGTAGTTTGTTATGATCCACACAGTCAAATAACTGCATAGTCAATAAAACACAAATAGACATCTGATAACAGCAATTATATCCTTTATACCACAGACTTTTTTTAAATCCAGCTCTAATTTCTGGCAGTTCTCTGTTAAGATACTATTCTATATGTTTTGAAAATAATCTTCAAGATTGAACTTGCTTGTGATATTAATGGTATTATTTGATGCCCCAAGAGTATTTATATTCTTATAACAGTCTGTGGATTCATACAAAATACTGCCATATGGCTTCCAACCCTATTACACTGCAGAATCTATTTTAAGGTAATTCATTATTAGTCCCTAAATCTGATGAACACTTTTCAATTCTCCATTGAAATTTTCAATTTTCAATTTTTCATTCTCTCCTGGTACCACTCTCTCCTTCTTCTCTATTTTCTACATCACTGATCTCTTCTACTTAAGCTCTTTCATTCCTTCTTCTTTCCCTACAATTTCACTTTGTAATTCTTCATGTAATCATTTTCTACATAAAATCTTTCCAAGATCATACCCCATAGTCATCTGGATGAAATCTAAACTTCCTGACCAGGCATCTCAAATCCTTCATTATCTAGATCAACTAACTGACCCTTGTATTTTCTTTTTTCAAGATTCAAAAACCTACTTACCATTTTCTCCATCTTTCTATAACTCCCACCACCAGCCTTGTGCACCAAAAGCATTAACAGTCCAACTATTTGTGTTACAGTATGGAACTGAGCTTTCTCCTGATATAGGCATTGTCCTACCACTGTTTGCCAAGCATTATAAGAAGGCATGAAGTATCCACTAAAAACATAGACACAATACACATGTCATGCTCTGACAAATCCTCACTCCTGCATGATGTCACATTGTATGACATTTCAAGGAAATAAAGGAAACAAAAATCATCAAATAAATGGATAAGACAACTGTTAAACCTTTAAAATTCTGAAAGACAGGATGAAGGTTAAGTTCATCATGCAAATTGCCCCCCACTCATTTACCTGCAGCTGCCTTTAAGTTCTCGGCCAGTTTCTTGCACTTGCTCTTTGATGACTTAACAAAAAAAATATTGATATTTGAGGCAAAACATTCTTTTAAATCACTTGAAGTATAATCTGCAAAAAAATGAAAAGGCATAGGCTTAATTTCCACATCCATTGGAAACCTCCTTTGAGAGGCAGTCATGTGATTGTGAGATCAAACAATGTTTTCTATTATGGTGACCCTATATCAAAAGTGACAAGATTTTAAAAATTTTTGTTACAATCAGGAGAGGATAAAATACATGAATGTGATCTTCTAAGAATCAAATCCTTACGCACACACAAAAACTTCTCCAAAAGCGTAAAAAGGGAAGCCACAGACTGGGGAAAAGTGTTCGGTAATGACATGTCAGATAAGGGACTTATATATAGAATTTATATAAAATATTTGAGCACCACACCAAGATAAAGGTAAATAATCCAATAGAAAAATGGGCACAGGATATGAACCGGCACTTCCAGATGGCTAACAAGCACATGAAAAAATGTTCACAATCCCTAGCTTCAAGAGAGATGCAAATCAAAACAACTATGAAATATCATCTCACCCCAGTAAGAACAGCAAAATTTAACAGAACAGAAAACATCAAATCTTGGTGAGGTTGTGGAGAAACTGGAACCCTTATTCACTGTTGGTGGGAGTGTAAAATGGTGCAACCACCGTGGAAGGTGGTGTGGAGCTTTCTCAAAAAGTCGCAAATAGAAATACCATTTGACCTAGCAATTACACTACTGGGAGTATACCCCAAAGAGACCATAACTGCCACCCAAGCAGATATATGCACACCCATGTTTGACTGCTTTGTTCACAATAGTAAGGAGTTGGAAACAACCTAAGTGCCCATCAACGAACAAATGGATAGAGAAGCTGTGGTATATTCACACAATGGAATACTATGCTGCATTGAAAAACAAGGAACTCATGCAATATTA